TTTTTTTTTTTCCTCCTCCCCTTTTTTTTTTCTGCCTTGAATTCTGTCCCTTCCAGGTATATTAAATTTAGGAGCCTGTGAAGTAACCAGGACATCTGCGCTAGGTAAGAGGAAAGTACTCCTGGAAACCCTTGCTGTTCTGTCATCTTTCATGTTACTTAACTGTCGTCACCTTCACAACTCCTTCACCTGTCATTAATGTCTCTGAATCCAAATAGCTGTCCCAGTAATAAGAGGTTGTGCTAACCCACTTTTTACTACCATGGAAAGTGAGGACAGTTTTTTAAAAAGTCAGACTCTTATTTACATAAGAGTAGATACTTGCCTTTACAAAACTGCCCTTTTGTACATATTTTTTCCACAAAATACAGTAGTTGGTCTGGCTGAATGGTACTCTGGGCATGGAATTCTCATAATAAACCACTTACACTTGTAAATAAAAAGTATATGCCTAAAATAGTTTGCATATACAAAGTATATATATTTAATCTATTTAAAGTATTTTTACTATTTAAAAGAACAATCTTGTTGAAAGCTCAGAATGCTGCAGAGGTGAAGGGGAGTTTCAGGTTTTACCATGCGTTTACAACTCTCACATATCCTAGAATTCTTTCAAATGGCTTTGCTAATTTTTGTGTACTTTTTTATACCGAGGCCAGGTTTTCTGTGATACTGGACACTCGGTTTGTAATGACATGCTCAGGACCTTTCAAAGATGTCACAAGTTTGACTCAAGAATTAAAGCAATAAATTGATTTTTTTAATAAAGGTTTTTCTTACTAGTATTTGTATTTTCCTTTTCTGCTAAATGCCATTTTAAATTTTAGACTGTGAGGTATTCTTCAGAAAAAGTGTTAACGATAAATGCAGAATATTACTATTAAAAACTATCAGTCCTGTACAATAAGAAACTGATACAGATTTTGCAGCTCAATAATACATCATGTACACTGAATGTTTAATAAAATGTTTACCTCAGCACTAACAAACTATATGAGAAGTATAGTGTTTTACAGAACAGATACATTAGATGGTATTTGTGCATTTAGTTTCAGCTTTTCTTGCCTAAATATATAAGATGTTTAAGTGAAAAATGTGCTATGAACAAGCCAACTCTTGAGGCTCATTTGCTTGAACGTGCGAACCCACTGAAAGACAAGATAAATGAACCTTGATATACAGGCAAGTAGCTGTACTGGGGTAACAAACACGTTTTAAACCCTGTAACATGCAAGACAATCGTATGGAGCAATACAAGCGACACTTCACACACAGAGCAGTTTGTGTCAGGTGCACGCAGCGCTGTGTGCATGTAGGGTAGATTTCAGCACATTTTTACATGAGGTGAACATGCATCCGTATTTTTAGGACTAACTACGTACATTTAAGGTTATCCGAAGGATGGAGCCCTGACCTGACGACTGCACTCAGTGGGATTTCTGCCATCAGCTTCGCACGGTGAGGGAAGCGCATGCAGTATGGCAATGGCTGTTCTTAGGCTTGCCCTTTGCTCTTCACCCCAGCTGGTATCGCCCTGTACTCAGGCAGTGTTGCGCCGCGCCTCCTCTCCCTGTGCCCACCGTGTCCCCATTCACCGCTGTCCCGGGGGGAGCAGGTTACCTGTTCTGCAGCCCTTTGGGGCTGCCCCTCGCGCTGGTGCCAACTGCGGTCGCCTTCTCCTAACCCCCCAATTCAGATCCCAGCAATGTCTTCTGTGATGGAAACCACTCATGCATCACATATTAACTTAATGAGGTATTAATTAAATTTAAGAATCAATTCCTTCTCTTCTACAAACGTTATTTCAGGAATTATAGTTTGTAGATATTATTTTTAACTTAAATATATATAAGGTGTAATAAATAAAATTTGTGTTTTAAAGTGAGAAGGGAGATTAGATTTGTGAAGTTGTTGATGTTTCTCCTTGGTTTGCACCATCTCCTTGTGCCGAGTGAGTCAAAAACTGTCCTGTAGCTCCGATGTATAACCTGGAGCGCATCGGCCACTTCTGCAAGAGAAGAGACAAGCACAGTGCTGAGATACCCGGGATCTTTGCAGTCTGAATGCAGTCCTCAGCAAAGCTTTAAATGCTGATGGAGTCACAATACAAGAAAATAGGGAACTGTTGCTATTACCAGAAAGTCCCCGTTTTGACAGTTGTTGGGAAATGTCATTAAAAGCTGGGTAAGGGAACCTTAGCCTGGGTATTTTCTTTGGTAATTAAGCATGAAGCACAGCTCCTAAACCCCCCCAGCAGACAGGAGCAGGCCACGCTGACGAGTCACCGTACCATAGTTTGTATAGTCGATGCTCTGGGTGGTAAAATAAAGCATTCCTCTTCTCAGAGCTGGGGATACTACAGGGATACACCAACGCCTGCAGAGCCCTGTGTGCGCACCCATTCGTGCTGGCCAGCCCCTCCAACACCGACCGCAGCACGGGGGCTGCTCGGGGCTGTGTGTTAAAGGGAGTTTTAATCTCATTGCCCCTTGGCTGGTTTACTACTGACCGCTTCCTGTTCTTTGTCAGTTCCAACAGTTTCAAGTGACGCAGTTCATCTTTCTATTCACTGATTACTGATTTCTGGAATACTTACTTCAGTGTTAAATATCTGTTCGTATAGCTCAAGTTTCTTAACTCAAGCACGTTACTTACTGCAAAGGGCCCCGCAGGAGGGGCGACTGCAGCTGGGTGCCCTTCTCTTGGAAGGAAGAGTTCAGCGCCAGTGTGATGTGCTGAGTTCATTATTAGAGGTGGATGTTTGAAAAGACAACTTGTCATACACATCGGATGCAAAAATACCTGAAACACAGCCAGCATATTGTTCCAAAATAATACAATTTTTTCAAGACACTTTTGGGAACAGGCTGGCACCTTTCCTGTGGGCACAAAAAAAAGAAAAAAACAAACAAACAAAAAAAACCACTAGAGGGGCTTAATACTGCAGTTAAATCCCAGCTCTTCTATTTAAAAACATTAAGAAACAGCATATATTCTCACTTGGAAAGACCATGTGATCTCATTTCAGTATTTTTATTTCAAGTGTGATGTTATGACTTTGTCACCAATAAGACATCTGAGTTTAAAGTCATTAACTATATTTTTTGCTCGGTGTACACACAACTGTACTTGAATATTTTACTTTCCTCACTATCGGCATTTGCTGTGCTTGATGTGTGAATGTAGTTAAGTCCTTATCAGTACTGGTTGTCTCATATCCTGCACTTTGGAGTTCTTTGAAGCATGCATTATGATTTGTCTGTGACACTTCTGTTCTAGTGCCAACTAAAAAAAAATAATTTACTACCATGAATATTATAAAGATTGGATAGACTGATAGAATCTCAAAACTAAATATAAGTAAATGGCACATAAGTAAGATTATAAAAAACAATTGCTTAAATTAATCCAGTAATGCTGTATTCCAGTAGCCTGGGAAATGTGCATCTGGATCATTTAACTGCTGTAATAACTATTTAAAAGTATTTTTCCGCCAGTAAGAGTTGGCAGCTGATAAAAAGTACCATAGGAGACCTGTGTCCTTTCACTCTGGCTGAGGGAACTAACTAAAGCTACTTCAGACTTATTTGGAAATATTTCACAATATTTTTTTTCTTAAATTATAGCCATCTTCTAATTGATATAAAGGTTTTGCTTTCTCAATGAGCCTGCTAATCATTTAAATGGCCTCAGAAGCCTACATTCACATCAGCCTTTTTCAGCAACCAACACTGTGAACAAGAAACTCTCTGTGAATTAGTCACTTTATAGGAATTAGAGATTACTTCACAAATTAATCTTAATTAAATAATTCTGAATTCATCAGACTCTTCAGGAAAAAAAAAAAAAAACCAACAAAAAAAACAAAGAAAAAGAAGAAAACACCCCAGTGCTCTAACCCACTCCCTGAGACCAGAGCCAAAGAAAATACTCCATGGTATTTGAGAGTCCTGTCAATCACTGAGCAATGCATCTGGGAACAGTTTCCAGCCCCAGGTCCTCTCCAAGAGCATTTCCCCTCTCATATCCCCTCTGCATCGCCGTGATTTTTTTCTGATGAAGGGAAGAGCAACAACAGCATATACCAACTAGACTAAATGGATGCATCAGAAAAACACTTTCATAGAAGGAATTAACATGTGGCCAGTAATTAACATCACCTCCCGCACCTTGGCTGCCCGGGCAGGAGAGCCGAGGCAGTCCAGCCATGGCTGGCATCACCTCAGCCACCCACATCTCCTACAGCAGGTTCGGATGGGTTCGGTGGGGCATGACCAAAGTTTCCATGCGGGGACCAAGGAGGTGCTGGTACTCCTCTGGTGCTGCCCTCCACCTTCACTTCCAAGGGACCAAGTCCCACTAGGTTTGGACCTGTGCTGTGTTTGATATTTTTGTGCCTGAAGCTGGAGGGACAAAGCTCCAGGACATTTCCTTCATGCCCCCAGCACCTAGATGCAACAGCTAGTCTAGGCATCTATTTCATCTATTAACTCTGGCAAGGTAAATAAGCTTGAAATCTTTAGTTTTATCCAAGTATCTTTAACATCTATTTACTTCTTCCCCGAGAGAAGGTGGTAGCAGCTCCTCAGCTGCCCTACCTTGACAGGGTGGAGGTACCCATCCCCTCGGAGGGTGCCCAAGCCCTCTCCTGGTGACTCTTCCTCATCCTGAAGGCTGCGAGTGAGGTGGGCAATATAGGTGGTGGCCAGGAGAAGTACATCCAGCTTGGAGAGCTTGGTGTCGGGTGGCACAGAGGGGAGAGTCTTCTGCAGCTCCAGGAAGGCATGGCGCAGGGTTTGAACCCGACTGCGCTCGCGGGCGGCGTTAGCAGCAGCGGGTCTGCCAGGAGGTGCCCCAGCCCGATGCCCAGCTGCCACGGGCGGGCAGGAATTGCTGCCGGCAGCAGAAGGCAGCAGGGAATCGGGCTCCACGCCTGGGACAGAGATCTTCTCGCTGCTCTCAGATAAGTGTCCACAGTCCATTGGTGACTTCCCGGGCAAGCTGGTCCTGCAAACAACAAGAGCATCTCTAAAGCCAGCCACTGTGCTGTGCCAAAGCAAATACTTTCTAAAAACAAAGATGATCAGAAATACAAGTGCTGTCCCTGCAAGGAAAAGCCAGGATGCCGCTGTGCGGGCTGTTTTTCCATGAGCTGCTTATAAATTTGATATCACGCACAGGTACAGAAACAAAAGTTAAATTCTTCACAAAGATTAAATTTTTGGGAGGACAGTATTACACAGAGCAGTTTCTATTATTCACTCATAGCCCAAAGATCAGTTGGCTCTTCTGAGAAAATCTGACAGGCAACACTGAGTGGCAGTGGACTCCATGGATTACAGAAATAAAAATACCATTTTCAGATGCAGCAGTCAATGGAGCCACAGAGCATAGTGCTGCATTTTTGAAGGGCAAAGCTTGGTCCACGGTTTTCAAGGATCAGGAATGGACTTCTCTCCTCCCATCCCTAATACTACTCAGGAGTTTCTGTGCTTATCCTGTAGCTTCTACATTTTCAAATGTAAAACGCATCTTGTAAACTGGATTTTGGCCATTGGGGGGCAAAAGAACCCTTTCAGAACAAGAGCAAAAAAACTTTTGAGCAAAGCTGAAAATAATGACCACAAGGTCTTTTCTCAGCTTTCACAAAAGATGGGCAATCAGCTCTGCCTGTAATGAAACTCACAGTCCTTTAATTTATTCAATTCCATGCTAAAATGCAATTCAATCAATACTGCCCAAAGCACAGCATTTCTTAGCTAGAATAATACCTGATGCTGTTGTCCTGAGTCAATCAGCCCTTCTCGGTGCCTCAGACAGATCCCAGCTTTCACGTGTTGGGAGCTGCTCTTTCTGTGATGTCCCAGCTAGACAACAAGGGCAAAAACAAGTTATTAAAATGTTTAAATGCATTCAAATACAGTGTAATTTCAAAAATTTAAATCAGATTGATGCATGTGAATGACTGGAGATCTACATTTACAAAAATCAGGCCTTATTTTGCAAAACATTTCAAGCACACGCTGAAGTCCCAAAGAACTCCTTGTGTAATTGCGGCTGATAATGGCAAAAAAAACCCACGAGACAGTGAACCAAGTCAGGATTTATAGCAAAGAAGAGGAAAGGTTTCTAAATAATCCTTTTTGCAATGCTCTAGTTTGATGCTATTTAGAAGACATTGTTATTTGGGTCTTTTACTGTGATTAATTTGCTGTTAATCTGGCTCACAGAGTTGTATCAGGTTAACGTTCCCTTAAAGGGTACTTCGTGTGTGTCACAACTGTAAACCAAAGGAAAAAAAATCTCATTATTAGTTTTTATTGTGATAATTATTGCCGATATAATAATAAAACCCACATTAAGTCTACATGAGCTTTGTCTTGAGTGAGAGCTGAAAAACAGTCCCTAAATTGACGATTTCCTTTAACTTAAAATACCCCATGTGCTTTTTTTTCTTGGTATTTTCTTGCTGTGTTAAGTTACAGTCAGATCTAGACACATTTTAGTGGCAAAAAAATAATCTCTCTTGCCAGTGCAAAGTCAATACAATCATGAAATACAGTTTCAGGTTCATCAGCAGGATCTCTCATTTGCCATCCCATCGAAATCCCACTGGAACAAAGAAGTCTTCCCTGATTACTGGAAAAGTCTGAATTACCCAGGGTTAGAGACAGACTGGGTTAGTATAAATACCTGTTCATCTACTGAAACACAGGACTGTGGCTGGTTGACATGAAGTTTTGGTTTTGCTGTGTTGGGATACAACCAAATTTAGCACTGCAATGACTTTCCATGACATACAGTATATAGAAGTGCACATACCTAAAAACCTCATTTCCTTGGGCACCTCTTGAAGTAGAAGTTTCTGGTTTAGGAGCTTCACATCTACATCGGATGAAATCCTGGGCCTAGGGGGAAAAAGAAAAAAAAAAGGAAAAATTTCAGTTGTGGAAATGAGCTATTTCCCTCTGAATTAATTTCTTCACTGACAGATTTCCCATCAAATACCGCAAATAACATACATCAAATAACAAATACATTAAATACATCAAATAACAGCAAACGGCCCAGGAAAATCCACTACGCAGAAACACAGGATATACTGTAGGTATGTACGTGTGTGCAGCCAAGCGCTGTGGCTCCCGAGCAAAAATTGTGTTTGTTATGTGCTGGGGTTGGGCAGCATCGCTCTCTGCACTGGTGCAATCAGGGTGCTCGGGGTGCACGCTCTGGGCAACAGTCGTCTTCCATCTCCTTTAAAATTTTACAAGAAAGAGTTTTGATTTTTTTTAAGATAATTGCAAGAATTTTTGCAAACACCCACTTGCTGCCTGGCATGCCAAGAGACCTGGAAACGGGAGGTAAAAGTAATTCAAAGTATTTGTATTCTTTCTAAAGCATTTTTATTGCTAGATTTCTAATGCTGGCAGACGCAGTCATGCTTTTACAGGACACTACAAAGACATAACCTGTTTGAAATCTAATTAGTTTACCAAAGAAAACAGCCGAACACTTATTTTATTCCTATATTCTGTGTGAACGACACGGTGATGAGCGCAACCTGCCCGCCCGGACGAGGGAAAGGTCGAAAACGCCAGCGCAGAGTCTACAAATTGAAAAGAAATGGGTGGGAACCGGAGAGAAACCTGCTCGCAGCCTTTTCGGTTGTTCCTTCGAGGTTAAAAAAATATAGTGAAACTAGATTATTCGGCTTCGTTTTTATAAAGACCT